TATTTGTTCTTTGCGTATAGGCAGTTTTGGCTGATGATCTCAGAATAATGATTATTTACTTCTTTATTTATTTATTCATTCATGTCATCATAGTGTATAAAGGAGTTGCGGGTGTATATCATCATAAATTGTCAATTTTTTTCGTTTATTTTTACGTCGTTTTCCTCTGGTTCAGAATCATCGTATTGTAAAATTGCGATTGGTGCATAAAATGTATTGATGATTCAACGTGCTCATATATTCGAAGTGTCATGTTTTAATCGATTTGTAATTAGTTGTATGAAGCAGATGTCATTTTGTTGCTATGACGATCGTCTCGAATGTAAAATTTACATTTACGCTGACGTTTTATGATTGTCCTTACCTTATTGCAAGTAAACTTAAATTGTTTTTGCTGCGAGTGACAATGTTAATGTAACAACTTCCGAAGAAGTGCAATTAATTAGTATGCAATATAACAAGGCGATATTGAAAACAGTACTAAATCGCTTCGCTATCGTTACACTGCAATCAGTCAATATCTCTTCCAGCATCATTCAGTTCAGAAGATGATCAATGTAGTTCACATGAATAGTGAACGCTGGTCACATGAATAATCGTGCGTTGATGGTGAACGCTCACAGTGGTCATTAATAAAGAACAAAAAAGCGAATCAATCACCAAACGATCACCTCTTCATTACATTACACCAGCAAATTAAACTAAACAGACGAGTTAATGAACTTCAGAAAAGTGTTTATTGTTGTTGAAAATATTCGCAAAAAGCACCCAACAACTCGTTTATCGTTATTTAGGTGCACAATAACAATCGAATGAACATTTAATAAGGCATCAATGAGTGACAGATTGACGACACAAAATTAAGTAGCGAGTGAGGGGTGTTGACACGATCAATTCAGTTTCGTGCAAAAGATGATCTCGGGAATTTGGCCATCTTCCACCGAAGTACCGTTATTATTGCCAGCCGCATAAGTGAACTGAAACGTGATTATACCACTTGTTGGCGACTGGTGCACGATGCGCCTTAGACCTTTCGTACCATAATGCGAGTCTGGACCCTAAAGCTCCTCTTTTACAGATATTTCATTCACATTGAACACTATTCATCATTTGGAATTCAGGTTCTGAGTATTCAAACGAAGTCAAGGTTTGCGGTGAATTGCATTATTTGCTGAATCAGGCAAGATCAGCTTAACCACGAATTCATAACGTGAAATTTCTTTTTTAGAGACATCTCCATTTTCTGTCACACGATAGTTGTCGACGAGCGACAAATTACTGCAATTAGTGACCCATGATGCCATAAAGGGACGATAATACGAGCAAAACAGTGCTTTGCTTTGTTTCATTTGGAAGTGGATCAGAACACTCAACAACACTTCAGAATTACATAAATTGAAGAGGTAAACGACGTCATCAGGAGTAGTGATGGGATCCGACCAACAGTTGGTCGGAAAAATCCGACAATTTCGGTCGGAATTCGGAATTCCAACGGTCGGAACGCCAAAATGCCAACTCGGTCGGAATTCCGACTGTCGGAACGCCGAAATGCCAACTCGGTCGGATTCCGACCGAACGAAATTTCGCTCGGACCCCATCACTAATCAGGGGTAGTGTTTGGAAGTGACATATTTTTTCGGTGGTCGCCAACTGAGTGGCCTGTCGGGGACTGCCGAAAGGAAATTTTCGGGCATCGGTCGGTGGTAACCGAAGTTCGGTTTGCCGAGGTCCCCGGCTGAACCAGCCCTTTCGAATTTTCGGGGATCCTCGCGGTTCGGTGGCTACAGACGCTCTAAGCAGTGGCTGAAAGAATGCGAAGAAACGGGCCTCAGCACCCTGCAAGGCAATCGAACCGATGAGCGAAAATTAACAGAGATGTTACGATGATTACCTTCAAACAAGCAGATGCAATATAGGTAACACAAGGAGTTATTTCGACGGGTTCCTTGAACAGAACTCGAAATGTTGAACTTGAACCATCACATGTAAATGAGGTGTCATTGCTTGCCAAAACCTTACCGGTACCGCAATGTAGAATCTGAATGCAAACCTAATTATTCAAGCAAACACTCAACTGAACAAACACACGAACAATCTATTCACGCCGAATTTTGGTATACATGGGGACTGAATCCACCTCGAACCGCTCAAGCTCAATTCCAAGTCCATTACACGCAAATTTCGACATTAACTCGACTCAGCTGAATGACCATCTCACATGTCTTATATTCACCTGAATCGTCACTTCGTATTCATATGGTCCATGAATGCTACCATGCAACCCAAAACCAATCACGTAAATTTTTCGATCGACAGTAAACCTGAAATGGTACAATTTAACAGTTTCGACTAGTTTGGGATCAAATAGAATGCACATAAAAAAGCCAACAGAATGCACGTGAAGGTATCGTTCAAATCAATAAAGGTTATTTCGTAATGAAGTTTACAATCTCATGGCTATCGAATTCGAAACGGAACACCTACTTGATACGATCAGGAGTTCCACTGTAACCCCATCGCCCTTCAACGCGTTGAAATCGATTCACGATAACTTCTTTACCAAACACACAACATCGAGGAATGTCAATGAAAGCAATTGCAGGCTTAGGATTCACGGTGAAATATAAAAACAAGCTAACTAGTTCATGGTCGTCAAGAATGCCACTTTGTGCTGCAAGTTATATGAGCACCGTTACAATATTTTCTCGACTACGATATGATTAAGAAAGTAATCATCTTGCAATATCCATCGCTACCCAAAGGACAACTGCACAATGCAGCAGACAGTAGTTCGCTTCATGCTCACGGCAAATACAACTGTATAAGAAAAGAGCTATTACAAGCAATCGTGACCTACCAACACACTGCGCAAACTCGTCGATGGTCATCAGCGGAAATCTGATGAGGTAGAGGGCCTTTCCGAGGAGTTTGCGTTGGTTGTGAGCAGTGACTGGCAACGATTTGCGATGGCACTGTTCGACAGTCCATCGCAGAACGGCCATGAACAGCGCTGCTTCACGAACGCGTAATGTATCTCGTTTCAACACCACACACAACGTCTCCAGATCGACCTCTGTGAAGCCTTCAATTCCCATTACAATCATTCACATCCTCAACGTCTCTTTCTGTATATTCTTTTCCGGTACATAATGCGATTAGATCGCCATATGACAAATATACTGTTATATGCTTCTAGAAATGTATCTTAGTAATGATTCTTTATTCGTTATTACTGAATCCCAAAATCGCGAAAATGAATTCAGTCGGATTTCGTCGACCCAATCCTTCTTCCAACTACCACCAAAAGTCCATGCCTAATCCTTTCGTTTTAAAGGAAACAGAACGCGTGGCCCCAATTTACTCAAGAAATGTTTACTTCGCTGATCAGCGCTGTCAATTTATAAAGCTACATATCACCTTTACTTCACCTCGATACTGTTTTTGGAATTTACTTTACATACACTTAACATACCAGGAATTTTTCGAAGTTTGCTTCACCTTCATTCTATTTTCAACCCGATTTTCCGAAGCAAACTTCACCTACTTCGAGCTTACCACTTCAAGGTTTCCCAACTATTACACCTAAAATTTTGCATATATTTTCTCACGGGAATGTTAAAGAAAGAATAAGCAACTTTGGCGGGTATTTTGCAGACAATCAACGATGATTATCTATACGAAAGTATTTTATTCATCACCATAATATATTCAACGTTTACTTTATCAACTCACAACTTTACTTACTCGTCCTCGACTTTAACGATACTGTTGTGTCGTGTTGATTTCATAGGGAAAGAGGTATTATTTTCGAAAAAGTCATCAGTAGTGATGGCATCTGAACGAAGTTTCAGTTCGGTAGGAATCCGATCGAATCGACTTTTCAACATTCTGACATTCAGAATTCCAATCGAACTTCGGTCGGATGCCGTCACTAGTCCCTAATCCATTTTACGTTCGGGTTAAATAATATTAAATGATAAAAATTTCTTAACCCGGATAATTGTAAACTTCGAAACACAGTAATATTCTGCATAAAAATGAAGACACACTATTGAGAGGAGTGGATTCCCTGATGAGAACCGTCTACGAGGTAATCCTCGTCATCGGTTGACTACGGTCCATATTGTTATCATCCAAAGGACTACCCAAATCCAATCCAAGCCAATTCCTAAAGTTGCAAACTAACCATCAGCATTCAGTGCGTCAGTCGTGTTCTTATCAATAATCTCCAAGCACAAACTCGCCAACTGCGGCTCATCGAAGAGTCTTGCCTGGGTCAGTAACATGAAGGCGTTATCGGCACTCAGATTACGCTTTAAGAAATCCACACAAGCTTTCTCCATCGCAGGTATTGCATATTTCTTTGCTGAAACCATCTCAAGATCACTCTTCGAAGTAGTCTACTAAAGCATACAACGTGATCAGTCAACTGATTGATTCATTTCAAAAAAAATCAAGTCTAAGCTGAACCTGTATAAAGTGTAGTCATAACACTTTCTGGCTCAATCGAGAGCTCATCCGAATAGAGAAACTTCAATAGCGCAAGAAAAGCGTTTGGCTCAACGTCTGGTAGTTCTATTTCAGAAACGAACATCGCTCCTTTCGAAAGATCTGCAAAATTGTATTCGAATCCCTGAAGTGATCCTCTCAAGGGATCGCAAGCCAGCCATAGAGCAGTGATCACCATCCATTGATGAGTTCTGATCATGACATACAATTTAAAAGTTTAAATGATCATCCGGAGTGCATATAAGTAGCAATGAAATAGCAAACCTGTTCGATTGTCAGCTAAACCCCCGTTGAACATTGCATCAAAAACAGCCGATCCAGTGGCAAGGACAAACTTATGTGCAGGGATCCTCTGCAAGAGGAGACAGGTATTGCTCATATATGAAAACATGCTTCCATCTAGCTATAATTGCTCCAACCTGACATTGCTCATCGCGTCCCACAGTGAAGTACACATCTGCGAGTAGCTCGTTGCAGTACATGAATGAAAAACGCTCCTTTAGAGTCGACTTCGATGCCTGCCATCCCAAAGACACTCGCTCTGTAGCATTACCGTAGGTTATCTCCGTTGATGACTCACTCCCTTCTCCTACAACCATTCAACGATAACCAAAGTGAAAGATTGATTTAGAAACATGGTAAATGAAAACGCAGTTCGTTATTAAAAGCTTTGAAAACAAATAGTAAACGAGAACGAACATTCGAAGAAATTAAATGGTCAGCTCACTTAAAGCAGGTGAAGTGGTTGGGCTAGTAGCAATCGCTTGAGCTGTGTCATTAGCGGTACGACGCAGCGATGCGGCGTTGTGCAGCGGGTATCGTTGTATTGCTCTTGAACTGCGACCTGAAGGTAATTATGAGTTGACTGCTCTGGTATTGTAGCGGGCATATTGCCCGGATGGCAGCGATGATCAGTGACAAATCTTATCACTGAGCAATTTGTTTCGAAACAGTTCACTGCCGAAGAAGTAACGAAAGATGAAACTGATGCATAAAAGGCAGTGATGAAGGCATCACTGGAATGTTGTTGGCCAAGCGTTCGATGCAGTCTGGCGGTCGGTTGTAGGTCGGAAGTGGACTGAGGAGAGGGTGCGTCAGACTGCTCATTGCCATTGCTAACTGCAGGTGGTGCTGTTGATGCACAAAGACGCGCTACGTTCGACAACTGCGGTGGAGAGCTGGACTCGCCGTCGATAGTATTATGATCGTTCACAGCACTCGCAACCATCACGTCAGCTACCTCCTCGTCGCTAAACACAAACGATGGAGCCACTGATCCTCAAATGTGATCATCATTTGCACTTGACAGTTAAGATCGGAGGTAAGTAAAAGCAGTAAAGCCAACTGGATGTGATGGCCGCCAAGCGATCAACAACAGAAGCAGACATGATGTCGTTGAATTCTGTTCTATGAGGTGATGTCGTCTGCTGTCGGTTGCCGCTGCTACTGCAAGCATTACGAACACTATCACTCCACTTATCACTTATTAACCAAACAACAAATCAAAATCAAGTAACAACCAACACAAATTTTCAATGCCAAATTCTGAAGGATTTTACACAACAATTGCTTGGTGTAGTAAAGAGCAGATGGAATGTTTTGAAGGTGCCAGCTACAGATTTGGCATTAAAAACAAATTAGAAAAAAGACAAAGTCTAATGAGCACCTCGAGATAGCAGTATTATTGTTATTATGAGTACCATTATTATTGTTATTGCTACTGGTATTGCTACAGCTAGGCAGTGTTGCTGCTAGACCTTCACATTTGCCTCCTTGTGTCGTTTCTTCAGTGCCTCTTTCATCTGATTGTCTATTCTCTGAAGCGTATTCTTCGACGACATTCTCACTTCTTCGTTGTGCTGCATTCAGATCATCGATAAGTTCCTGTAACATCGCAGAAAGTTCACTTAAAACAGGCGCTTTTCATGATGCTAATGAAAAATTGCATGAACGGATGGATGGATGGATTTGACGTTATCACTTTACTTTTTTCATGTTATCAATCAATATCTAGTCAAAAAGCCTGATGCCGTCAAAAGCGAATTTTCAAGTAACGACAAATGACCTGATTAAAAGCTTGCTGGTCGATGACATCATCAATGCTACGCAAAAAACGACTGTGCATCCGTAACTGTGACAGATCAGCAACCAGGGGATATCCGTTCTCTCTTTCATCACTCTCTGTTCCTTCATCTTCCATGCTTTGCTGCCTCTGTGCACTCTAATAAAATTGCATATCTATTACAATGACGATCGACATTAAATTAATTGTCCCATAAAATTGCATGAATCAACGAAATACGAACAGCGTTCGAAGAATGCGAAGCGAGACTGGGATTGGCGTTTGCAAGTGTCATGTGGAAGTGAATCGGATCCGTTTCGCATCCTAGCACACATCTTTCGGACGGTCGATCGCGATTCACACACAACTGCTCTGACCGATCGCTCCGATTTGACGACAAGTTTCTCGTGTTTGTTTCTGAACTGAGAGTTGTAGGTTTGACGGATATTGCATGCTGTTATCACTCATTGCAATACAATAGAGCAATTTATATCAACCAATCAACTTTAAATTTATCAATGATGAAAACTGCAGCATCCTTTACTGCTGTATTACCGGGCAAAACTGACGATGAGATGCAAAAAAACTGAAACAAAAAAAGATGATGAAATGGAGCTCATTTCATGAATAATGCATACAAGGATGGGTCGAAATATACGGCAAATAATCAAATGGGGAATAACAACTTGTCAGAGAATACGATATTGATTATTGTGAGCAATGGCTAGATAGTAACTGATAACCGATTGGATTGTGAAGGTTGCTTCGGGTGGAGGATGACGGCGTTGTTGTGTCTGAGGCATTGGTCATCGCTGTTGACATGCTCTGGTTGTGGTTCGAGTCGCAGTCTAGTGCTTGCCGAATATTGTGTGACGCGCTTTTATCAGGGCACATCCTCTAGATATGCAGTCACTTTCTGAAATACACACCAGCTCATTCAAAGTGTTTATTCAGGTTGCGCGAGGTACGATATGGTAACGACAACGATTCGATTCGTACACAATATACGATAAGGACTATTCAATGATCACTGCACATGCATCACACCTAACACTAACTTGTGCAAACGTGAACCATTCGAGCGATCAATCAAAATTTATTGAGCACATTAGTGGCTTGTTCACAGATCAGTAATCAGTCCTAATCTTACATTCACATAGGTGTATCATTTGTCGTGAACAACAACCGAATTATTCTCAACGCGCACATTTGTGATAGACGACTTGACCTACCACATGACAAGTTCAAAATTTTTTTGCATACGAANAATCTTACATTCACATAGGTGTATCATTTGTCGTGAACGACAACCGAATTATTCTCAACGCACACATTTGTGATAGACGACTTGACCTACCACATGATAAGTTCAAAATTTTTTTGCATACGAAAGGATCCGGAAAATGGATTTGCAAACTAAAACAGTCTTATTGTTAGTCTTAAATCAGTGAGATGAAGCAGATGTGTGATGAGATGAGGCAAACGCTTAAGCTGTTTGATGGCCAAACTCTAATCAATCAATAAACACATGTCACTGAAGTGAAAATGAACACCCGGCTCTACCTATTTCCTCTTACTCCATTAAATTCACTTACCTTCAACACAAACAAGACATGAGAAGATAGTATTAAGCATCATCGGTATTCTCGGAGCATTGCACAAAGCTTAGATCAGCCTCAACACATCGATATCATGGCCTATGTCTGTATAATTAAATATGCAACCATCCCCTTTCCAATGCCCTACTTTGAAAACATTTCACTTATTGTCGGTGTTTTTGCATAAATAAAACATCTGAAAAGCAATAAAACACTGCTTTATATCTATTAATTGATATCGCAACGAATATAACACAAATATAATATTTATCGAATTTGCAAACACCACGTCGTCATCAATAAGTATTTCGTCTCAACATTCAATGAGTAACAAACGACTAAAATCGACACGAACACAAACGAATCAATTATTTTCACACATAATCCGTACCGAACACCACGTATCGCTTGCGATCAGCATCCACCCACAACCTATCCACTCTGCTCCACTCACCTTCACTGCTGCTCGCCTTAAACTTTTTTCGTTTCAACTGCAGCCGTTTGCATGCAAATCTGTAAGGTACGAATATGATGAAGTCTTCCAGACGTACCACTTATACGTTCACCTTTCAATCGTTTCCGTCACGTAGGAGTAATGAAAGTGCTACTCTTTCACCACTCACTCCTTTATATATGCAAATTTTTGTGAATTCATAATGGTGGCTGCAAAGAATATTGCTGAATACATGCACAAACCTGGGATACCGACAACGACTCCGTTTGATCCACCTAAATGACACAATAATATGTTTAAGCAGCTATTTTTTAGATGTCTCCCGATAGTGTGATAGTAGTGCATCAGCTGTACCGCTAAGCATTCACATTAACATCCGTTGTAAATGAATACGAAATGAAAACGAAAACGAGATATTTACTGAGCCAAATGCACTCAAACGCACTAACGATCCTCTTGTTCAGCTCGCGGGCAAAAACACCATCCTCAAGTGAAGTGCTGTAGTGTTCCATGACCCCACACTAATAACAGCGTAGTGATGGTTGAAGTTGAGTGCAAATCCAATTTAGAACTAATGGTAAAGAGTGTTTGTTTGGTAGAATGTCCTCTTGCTTGTGCTTGTACATAGATAATGAAGTCATGTTTACACTCCTTCCATCCTCAATCTCTTGTCTTTATTCTCTCCTCCGAATTGTATTGTAGTGCTTATGAATATGTGCTCCGTTTGATGGGATTGTCCTCCCGAGAGCACTGCAAATAGGGTGCATTATTTATGTGATGATGAAAAAGATAAAATAATACTTCAATCAAGGATTACTCTACCACAAAATACATTCATTTTTTCAACAAATTCAATAACACGTTAGATTTGATCAACGATGAGCTACATTTTGGATGAAAACAATAAAACAAAATGAAATGANTCAAGTAATAAACAACTCAGTTCACTAATCGAATGAACGACTTTCATTCACACGTAATGAGTATAAGGAAACAATTAACGTCATTATACAATCGGTGAAATTCCGACCTTTCTTGGTGTTTATTTCAAAGTCTCAAAAAGCGAAAACATATATCAGCACTATCAATGATTACTTCTCAAAATGCGCAATAAAACATCAACTTTGTCTAACAACTACATAATGAGAAATATTCGAATAATTGTTTCCAATGCTTTACGAAATCTTCATGTTGTTTAAAGCAGTGAAAACATAACAACTCTTCCTTCAAAACAACACTTCGATTTTTGATAACGACACAATCATTTAAATAAATTAAGTCTGGGAGTAACAACAAATGAACAACTGAAAATAACGAGCGAAACATGTCAATCAATAAGCAGATTTCCAAATGGATAAAATCAATCAAACCTGAAAATCTTGTCAAAATTTAGCAACAGAAATTGTGGAGGATTTCAAATAAAACGCAGTAAGACGACATAATGAGACAAAAACTGATCGTGAGGTGACAGAGTCGAACTGATCGAGTTTACAAGTACAACCAAACGGAAGCACTCCCTTGCAAACCAACGATAAGTTTCAACTCAACTCAATCATTCGACCAACCAACCGATCAGACATGCAATCAACTACCACACCGAACAGTCTTCATCGAACATCAACAACATCAATTTTTGCGATTGGCTCAGTACCACATATGCAATATGTATCTCTCACCTAGACTGGTGATGCTGAACGACTCAAACTGCGACTTGCACTATGACTGCGACTGCGGCTGCGACTCTGACGAGGACTGTACTGTGGTGATCCTCTAGTGACACGACCCACCGGTGATCGAGACCGATGGCGTGATGCCGATCCACTGCGTTCATGACCCTCATCCTCACGTACGCGTATATACGACGTCTCACCCTTTAATTTATCAATGGAATGCCCTCTGAAGCACACTTCTTCTCGTCAATCAATCACAACTAACCAACCTCATGCGACTTGAATTTAGTGTCATCCAATTTGCGAATTGCATACTTCATGTCGTCTAGTCGAGAATACTCAACCACTCCGGTGCCGTCACGCAATATGTCCGCATAGCAGACATCACCAGCCTCGCGCATGTGATCTTTCAGATCTTGCCATGAACCTGAACAGAATTGCTTAGTAAGTGCACAAGTCGGTCACATAATTGTTGTTATCAGCAGAAGAAACTTTCTGCACGAACGAACAAATCAGGTATGAACTGACTTATGCATGATGCAAGGAATGTGGATAAATGCAAATCAATTATTGTAATCTTTAATAAACCCACCTGACACTGGTAAACCGCTAACCAATACACGATAGTTTGTTCTACGACCGCCGCTGCCGCCACTACGTCCACCTTCTCTGTTTCCACCTTCTCTGCTTTCTCGTTTTGACGCACTTCCACCGTTGCTGCCACCACGATCATAAAGTGGTCTTCCACCTGGACCACGAGGTCCGACTCCTCGCGGAAATTCCACTCTCAAACGATAACCATAATAGTCGTACCCATCACGACTTCTCACTGCGTCTTCTGCATCACTGCAAATAATGACTTTATTTTAGAGGAACATCACATTCAAGATAGTTATCATGGAACGTAGTCGTGCTCAGTTTCCTCAAACCTCAAATGCCCCATTTGGTTAACGACCTGAATGGTACTGATGCAGAATCATGGAATAATGCGATCAAATTCAAGCGTTAGTGTTTTCCATGAATGAAAACAGAAACTCTGAGGGTGTTCAGTAAGACTGCAACGTAAACAGAGAGTAAACATTACAAATATCAATGCTTTCTTGTGAATTTGAGGAGAAAGGACTTCATCAGAAAGTTTACTACAAAAAGATAACGTTTCCCAGACTGTCAAACAATTCAGGCAAACTGATAGAGCAGTGCAACAAATAGTACACAGAAAACTGTATGAATGTCAACTAAGTCAACTAAGCGGTATAATATATAGGCAATCATGCTGCACCTAACAGTATTCTTCCTCACAAAATACCACAAGCTCAGTACTACTAAAATGGAAGTGCATTTCAGAAATAATCACGATGTTACGAGATGGACTACAAACGACCCCACTACTCCTGGACGAAAATTTGTGACTAGGATAACCATGAGATCGAATTTAAATCCAAAAAGGTGGAGCGGTGCTTAAGGCAAAATGTTTGCCGACGACCAAAATTTTAGGTTTTTACAAGAAAATATGAAAAAACTAACCGAGCATCTTCGAATTCAACGAATGCGAAGTATGGAGGACGTCTGTCTTTGAGATCCACAAAAACGATTTTACCGTACTTCGAAAAAATATCCTCGACGTCTTTCGCACGAACACTCGTAGGAAGATTACCAACGTAAATACGACTCTCTTGTGACATTATCAACCAATTACTTTTCCTTGTGTTCAACCAATCCAACGGTTCAAACCTGTGACCACAAAAAGCCATAACATATACTAAATTTCCAGCAAAAGCACCAAATGAATATATTTACGACGTGACCACATCGAAAACACTTTTCAAGACTATTTTAATCTTTTTAAGACTGATTTCGCTTAAATCGAATGACACATGATGTTGACTGTGCAAATCACGTCGATAAGAATATCATCAACAATCATTTATTTAGGAGGCGCAAACAAACGTAAAACATCATCCAAATGCACAGCGCTCATCTAGTCATTCCGCAAAACGCCCAACGACGATAAAGAATAAAGTTGCTTATTGATTACGCGATGAAATGGATCGCGATATCATTTTCCGAAAGATCGATAATCCGAAAAGGCGCGTTCGTTCAGGTGCGCAACATGGTGCAACAGACAATATGGACGTTCGGATTACTGTATACTTATACTGGCTAGTTCTCACACCCAAGGAGACTGAGTGGCAGTCGATGTCACAAATCAATGTGACTAAGCTAACAATAAGATAAAACCTAAAGCTACCCTTGAGCTTGAGCCTAAGCCTAAATCTCAACGTGAGCCTAACAATATGCCTAATCCAGTTCTCTGCTTAACTTAAATTATGCCAAAACTGTAGACTTGAGGCTCCTTATGGTATATTGAAGCCCATTGCGGTGCGTTGCAATACCAAATACCCTAGTACTTACAAGCGTATGAGATACGCCTTACTCGGGAATACTTCATGATAGATGCCATGAAGATATCTCATCCAAGCCAAGGATAAGGATAGATTACGGGCGACTGACAGATAGGTCTGCGACAAGTCTAAACCCCGACAAAAACCACCCATAATTCGATGATGAGGCACGCGCAAATTGTCGGAGTGGCACCTTGTCGCGGACCAAATTGTCGTAGACTCCAACTTACGAATGGCTGTAGTCAGATTGAAATACCGTGATGGACGATGTCTGGTCCTATGCTTGGTCTCATGCTGCTAAACCATCTAACTGTTTAAAAGTAACCTTACTGTGATGGGATAGAACCATCGATTTGTTTAATGAGTACCTGATGCCAGCACACGCCTTAGGCCGAGCCTAAGCACAAATATATTCTATCACTATATCTCGATTCGATCATCACCACTTGCCTCACCACTTTCTCGTTATCGAAAAAGATGTCTCTCCACACGATGTGTGCGGTGCGAACAATCAACATACGCACTTAAACGAACGACCCTTTTTAGATAATCGACTTTTCGGAGAATGACCACACTGCCCATGAAACGATTTGGAGGGAATGTGAAGATACGGTGCTGAGTACGAGTGACCGACAAATGCATCTACGACAAGTCCAGCTCCGACAAAAAGCACCATGTTACTCGATGATGAGGCATGCGCACATTGTCGAGAGCAAATTGTCACCAGCATGGGGCCAGCTGTCGCGGGTCCATTCGTCGGGGATCCAATTATCGGTCATCTGTTCTGGTACATGGCCGGAATTCCGGCCGTACCGTTCGATGTTTTTCTTGAAGTGCTGCTTTGTCCGGTTGCATTGCTCCATTCGTTTTCTTTCCACTCGGAGAAACTTATTCGGATATTTCTAGGGCCCTTTTTGTGATGTTTGTTTAATAATTAAAAATGTGGTTGTTTCAGAGTTGATGTTCATAACTGTAGACAATGAACGAAAACTGGATGGTAGCAAGAAATGGAACGAATGGGGCAACGGTCACAGCAGTGGACGATGACTTTTATGGTGATGACGAAGATCTCGCAATAACGCCTCCACCAGCCCCGGTGGATAATATCCCAGGTTGGAGGAGATGGCTGATTTTTTGATTGTTACTGTGTTATTGTCGTGATCCGATGAAACGTTTCAGTTTTCGGTCGCCATGTTGCGACCGCTACATTGAAATGCTATGAAAAGAGTGCTAAAAACTGGTTCAACAGAGCACGTCTTGTGCACTCGAATATGTTCACTTTCAGTCGCTGAATCGATTGTTGCATGGCTCATAGTCAGACTGTGTGAATTCAAAGTTGTGAAATTACTTGACGGTATAGTCAGATGTGCGTTTGAATAGTAGTAACAAATAATGCTCAACCTCGATTCATTTCAGAAGAAGAAGCTGAGCATGAACGACGAATGCTGAATATGTCAGCATCAAACAGTATTGCTCTCTCACAACTTCAGAATGAAGTGAGTTGTTTCAATCTGTCGATTCATAGCCCTCACCACGCTGTCGCTTACCTCGTCATCATTAATTTTATGAAGTTTCATTGATTCTCATCAATTAATTAGCATCACTTCTCTTATCATCGTTTCTCTGAATTATCCATCAAGCAGGATCCCTGCCACTGATATTCAGCTCAACTTTTAAAAGTGCCAGCTTTGATGGAATGTGCTTCTAAACTATGATCAATTGTTTTACTATGATTATTGTTATTCTATTTTGCAGATTCGAAAGATGAGAGATGAGAAAACTGAACAAATCGGACATATTGAATATCTGAAATTTAAGGTTCAAAATAGTGATAAGTTGGTTTTGCGTGATTTTTCGAACTCATTGCGGTTGCCTCAGCTGTATGCGATGAACGATGAAGCATTGTTTGTTCCAATCCGTGAAATAACTTGCGATGTGCTTTCGAATGGTTTTTCCACAAACCTTGAAAATTGTTTTTCATGAAGCCGTTCAATTTTTGAAACAAGTTTGACACGATAGGACTGATGAGGTGACAGTTGTTTACAGAGAATTATCTCAGCTGAGATGTCAAATATTTGAAATGCAGAAATCCTACGAGCAAAAGCTGAACGATGAAAGACGGAGACACGAACATGTGGAGGAAGATTTACGAAGCGAACTTACGTGTCAGGTGTTTTGGTTTATTTTGCTTTCGCGTGCGTTTAGGATTGCAGCGAGCATGTATGAGATTCCTTGTTCGCATTTCGATTAACTATCGTATGATTATTAACCAACACTGGCTGGTACTGAATAACTGAATTTTACTCCAGTTTCAATAAAATATTCATGCCGAACATCCGCATATTTGATTTTAGACTTCTGTTTATGAGTGCTGAACTTTTTTTGGTTCAATTCTTTGCAAAATTTACCTTTATAGCACACTGCGCGATCTTTTCGAACTAACTTAAATTGTTTTAAGCGGTGATTTGAATGAAAGTGTATGAATATGCTCAATTACTTGCTGTTAATAACTTATTGCACATTCAGGAACAAGAAATGAGCAGTAGGCAATTTCGCGAGAGATTCAACACTTCTGCGATGACAACTCCATCGGACGATCCTCATCAACATCACCAACAACAGTCTCAGGTAATAAGTTGCACGTGTAGAGTCAGTGCAGTGCCATATGCAGTTCATTCATTGAAACGAAATCATGTAAACAAAAAGCGATGAATAAGGATTCAGGAGGCAGTAAACAGTAACAACAACAACGTGTCTGTTGAACAGAGTTCACCAGCAATGCTTCCAACCAAGAAAGTGATCTGGAATGCGCGACGGTCAGGTGCTAAATTTCCGAGAACGCTGAACGATATGCATAATGTCGCGTCGTTGTTCTCTCATCGGAAACGGCCTTATGGTGAGACTCAAGCAACCTTCCAGACGGTACCTAGCCCTATGAAAGATCCATACCAAAGACCTGGTTCGTTGCCACAGCTCACTTCTTTCCTTATGTTAGTTATGCTGTCTTTTGATGACGGTTCGTTGGTGGACATTTTTTATCAAATCCGAAGTGGATCGATTAGATTCCGTGTTTTTTTAACGTGTATGGAACTTATTAGAATTACCATATTCTTCTCAGAATTGTAGGAGGAACTCTATCAGAAGAGAAGTTGTAAGTGACAAAGTGCATCTTTCAAATTCAGCGTTTCAGTTTCAGATTATTTCTATGATATTAAACGGAAACGGCCAACTGCAGCCGTTGCAGAAACACCTTTGAATTGGGAGAGTGATGATGATTGGAGGAATTGTGTAGATGGTGAACGAAGGGAGTCAGTAACGAAGCAAGCCATGGATACGGGGACACAAACATCGACTGAGAATCATTATGATGTATCGGTGTGCGTGAACGATAAGGTAAATGAAGTTAGACTTGATCGTTTCGCTTTTACGATTTTACCTAATGAATTGCATGCGACATTCATTACAGAGGATCGATTTGTTCATCAATGCTTCTTCACACATTTTCTAATAGTCACTCGTTTTATTTTCACTCTTTCCACTGCACTCACACCAAATACCGAACGATATTGGGAGCAGATTGAGATAGTTTAAATGTTAATCTTGGATTACTTCCATCGTTGTTTTTGTCCTTTTTCATCAAAGTTCTAGGGGGGTCGGAAGAGTTCCTCTGTTGAATTTTCGAGGACTTCTCAATATGATGCGGAATAATTGGACATATAATCTTTGGTAAGGAAATGTTTAGTTCGAGGAAGAGTGAATCGTATTCGTTAAGTTGATTAGAATCAATTCTTGTTGTTTGGCATTGCAGAACTTAATGGATGTAACATATGCGCTTCAAGACAGTTTGATGGATGAACAGTTCTGGTATTTGGATGTTATCAGGACAATCCGTTATGCGTCTGGATGCAACGGCAATAGTCATATTCCTCTTCGAGAACGTTTTTCACCTCACTGACTTTCGCTGTGTGCCATAAGGACCAGTCCAAAGATGCAAAATCCAATGATCTTCTCTCACTTTCACTTGTTACGATTCCCTGTGACACAATAATTCAATTTGTACCGCTGTGATTGCTAAAGTATATAATGCATGCTGAAGAAAATGGTTGTGTTCGTTAATGTACGTTTGTATATAATTTGATTATCCTTCTAAACACTATTCGTCATCCTTGTTATTTGTCGTATTATTGTTGTGATTATTATTATGACGTAATTTCATATCGATGCCTCATTTCTAATAAACATTTTTGTCGAAGATCAATCGTAGGATCATTAACTGGATGAAGAAGTGAAGGAAGCATAACATCGATGCTTTACTGGTAGAGTGATGCTGTCATCAACTGAAGTGTGTAGTCTGAGTATATCAAATATTTCTGGCGCTGAAAGTTGAATTCCGACGAATTAAGTTAGAAAGTGGGTATGATTTAGCGATGAACATCGTGTCACCGGTCTGATAAGAAATTCTCATTAATGGCGATGGTAGGGATTGTGCAAAGGTGTGCAAGATTGATGTTTAATAAGCAAACACGAAGAATCACTCATTTCGACAGAGAAGTGTCATCAGTGTGTTTGTTACAAGCAATTTGATATCCATTCGGATGGTTTTGTCATTCAATGGCAAACAAACATGTTTCAACAACAACGATCAAATGTCACTGACACATCAATTTGTTCAAATTTATGAACCAATTCACAATTATCATCACCTTTTGATACACACAAAAACAGAATATGTACAATAATACAAAGCAACAACGAAACAAAGTTCTGTTCGAATTCAACCGGAAAGTAACAATGCCATGAAATATGATATAAACAAATGCCCGTATCACATGGAGAGAACTTCAGAGAAAAGAGATGCGCGCAAGCCGTTTCGCGGTGCGCATGCAGGGTGAATTCTGTGGTACACGACCACGCTGTCTTTCTGAAAGCCCTTAAAAAAAGAATAACTTGAAATGAAGCAGAAATGCGATGGTTTGGAACTGTAGACAATCGATTTTGAGGATTACAGTAACGGTCGTATGCAAAGGCAGGGAAAATTTGATGAAGGTGCAGTGTGAATCGGGACTGGGCACACGCAGCAAACATAAAATCAACCGAGACGAACGACTTACATGTGCATAAGGATCACAGTCGTGTTAATCACACCATATCATATCACATAATATACGAACGCTCCACCTGATAGCAGCATGAACATACATCATGCACTCATCATGTAAACAACAATATAAACGAATAAACAAGTTAATCCTTTACCCAATTACCAGAATCACCCAAATCCAATCTTATACAACCTTCACTTACCCATTTGAATAATATTGAAAACGTTTAATGCTTAATAATCTGAGCATGTTTAATTACATACTCCACCACTGCCTTCCGAAGAACGTTCAAATGACTGAATAAGACTAGATCAATGGTTCCCACGCTGAGGCATTCCATTACTCCCTTCGATGGTCTGGCAGATCGTTATTACTCCCTCCTGCTACAACAACTTACTATTTTCACGCACAACATCACAACTAATTTCCCGATCCCCTCCATTACTCTTGACATACTCAAAAACGGGTAATTTCCCCATCTCCCTCATGGGAACCTATGGACTAGATAGTTATTCATCTGTTGGTAGCAACAAATGAACGAATCAATGATTAAGGAAATGATCACGCATGCAAACTCAATGTAATACCCTGTTACATCATATGAACAACAGAAGTAATTGTTCTTCACGTAATTATAACAACACAACACAATTACATCCCAAAGTTACACAATCATTCGCATTTGTCGTTTGATCGGATAACATGCATCGGACTGCGATATGAGATATTTTAGTAAATGATGAAATGAACAAACGAACTGATTTGGTGACAATGCGATGATTCCAACAACCGTTATCTTAATTCTCACAAAGATCAGTTTAGGACATCACGATCGCGCGCTAGCTTTGGCAGCCCAAATGTTGTGCAGTACACATAAAAAAGCATTTAGTTCAATTTCAGTATCGTAAATTAATACGTACCACGCGTTAATTTATTCTTTCTTTCGCACGCAATCATTGTGTCCCAAACAGCCATCCATCCTTTCCTAAATGCATTAAAGATGTCAGTTAATCATGACGCTATCACATCTACACTCCCTGATTTATCGAGAATCAAACCCGAATCTGGACAGTCTTCACGTGTTAGTGTGCTCTTATTGACTGTTGAGGCTGGTATTAAACCGTTTAAGTTGTTGCTCATTTTGAGAGTACCATTGAAATGGGCAGTTTGCTGGTGTTTCGTAAATAATTGATCAGCATCAGTGTGATTGGCAATATCCTCCTCATTACTTACTATTGAATTTGTGATAAAACCAGAGTCGTTTGCTATTCTTACGTTGCCGTTTGCCACTGCATTCTCCCTAGCCTTCTTAACAGCATCATCGCACGAACAAGCACCATTCTCACTTGATGTCGTGCTCGTACTCGTGCTCTGCACATCTGATGCATAGTGCTTATCCGGAATCAATGCTTTCATATCGTCACCATCGCAAGCGTTCGGCACTAATGCTCTAGAAGTTGACACTGCTCCTGTACTTCCTAGTGCTTGTAGTCGAGGAGACAGGGGGCTCGAAGGGCTGGTAGTCATCGACAGCTGCTTGTATTCGACACGTTTCGGTGATGTGAACGAGATGAAGCGTGATTTGGCACTGTAGCCGACTGGTTTGCGCTTAACCTTTCTGCTAGGTTTTTCCTTGTCCTCATCTCTTTCATTGTCATTTGCGACATCCAAATCGCTGATATGGTCGGATACAGCGCAGGATTGTGAACCTAACTCATGCTCTTCTTGTTGACGATTAACTGGTTGCTGTACACTGAAATCAAGTGATGTGGATGGTTTCGTGATAATGCTCGAATTATGCGTTGCAGTCACATCCCTACTTGCATTACCACTGTCATAAGTTGAATCGATCTGTGAGGATGATGTTTCAATGACACCAACACGTTCAGCATTTCGTAATTCTTCATCAGAGGTGACAGCTGTTTCTGTCCGGGTTGGTTCCGATTGCGTTGTTCGTAGTGCTGTCGGTAGAAGATGGGATGCTGGCATTGTGGGCACGATATGATGCGTCTCTTGGAACCAGTCGGGATCAGAGGCAATCAGATTGGACATTCGTGTTATTGCAGAGTTGAGTTTCATCTGCGCGGCGTTGTAACTGTAAAAGCGTGAGTCGTATTTCATGTCCGTATCGCTCAGGTTCGATATTAACGGTGCAATATTGTCTGGTAGGATGTACTGCAGTGAGAAGTTTAATGCTGGCAATACCATCGAATAGCTCGTGTACGTGAAACGTACCGAGATGACGCATCGATGCCTGAAATTTTGGCTGATCTATATTAAATTCATCATTAGGTTGGTTTTCTCTTCATGCAGTGCAATTTCAGTTTACCAGTGCAATTCGTTCCATTATTTTGTTCGTAAACCGAAGCACGTTTTTTGACAATAGTTAATGGAAAATGAATCAATTCTCCTGAACCGATCCATTTCTAGATTTTAACTGACGACGCAGAATCTGAACAATTTCACTGACAAGTTCAAAGTTCAAAGTTGAAGTTGTGAAAGAAGTTCAAAGTGTGAATAAAAAAGAGAAGAGGATGTTCATTCAGAGTTAGAGTCGTGTCGTTTTTGAAATCTAGAAACATCTCTTCTATAGGTTGTCCTAGAAACAATTTTCGGTATCTCTGGAAATATAACAGTATAAACTATTTATGATTCACTAGTTTCTTCATCCAGCGAAAACTCTTTGATAAAATCTAGTCCTCAACCATTTCCACGTGCGAATTTCTTACGACTAAAACGAGCTCTTCACTGCAGATATCTCGAATAACCTTCTACAATCCATGACCACTATAGGTAACCAAAACAGCCGTTACGGGTAATCAGATCAGTGGAGTGACTACATCAAAATTCGGGAATGAACCACTAGATGATGGTCATTGCACCTAGCACTAACAAGAAACGGTCGAAAGCCTAGCATGAATACTCTTGCATTTTGCCTGCTTTTGCTTCACATGGGAAATTCCTCAAGTTTGATCGAAACTGGTTGTCATTCCAGCAATGTTCGTCAAGTTTTCAACGGAAATTTAGGCGGTGACTCGAGGCGAACCGAGGCTTCCTTGAAGCCAGGTTCCAATTTGTAAGGTGATTGAACAGGTAATCGCTCATGCTGACTTTTTATGCTAATCAGAGGTTGTTTCCATTTATTCTACATGCTTTATCACCAATATTCAATCTTTGCCCCTTATTTTATTCTAATTCAAGTGCATTTTGGTCATCATCCTTTTGGTGCCATTTCATAATTTATATGGGAGTAACAGCAAGAGTGAACGGTCAATCATTCAAAAGATCGTTAATCGTATCAAAATAATCGTTGCAGCTTCATATGTTCAACAAGTTATCTTAACATTCTCTAAATTCTAAGCGCTTGTAAAACATAACCTAGAAGTTGATAACTTCAAAATAGAGATGTTTTTTAAAATGCCAAAAATTCAATGCCGTTGTCGAAAAAGGATAAAAAATTCAAACAGTTGGACATATTGATCACATAATTGGAGACCTGTCCAAAATGTTGGATATTAGGGGAAACTGTGAACGATATCTAGAAGAATGATCGCTTCTCAGCACTTCAGTCTGTTATTCAAGTGTGACGACTACTCTAGAAGGCCGGTTCAGCGGTACGTTGAATAAAATGCGAACAACCAATTTAATCGGCCCGCAGCAATATAACTCTACTTCAGGCCAATGAAAGGAAATGACTCAAAACACTTACATGAGTGCCTGATCAATCTGCGTCTCATACAGACGATCGTAGAGAGTATGCGAAATGCGTTCTACACGCTTTTCGTGCTCAATTTTGTTTCTGTATCGATAATAAGCACCCACTGAATTCAAAATGATCACTTTGTCGGCATTCACAATTGATGAGCTCACGTAGTCCATCAAATTTCGTTCAATTTCGTCGCCTTCCCACACATCCAACTGTAATACAAACAGAAGTACAAATTATATTTCGTTTCAGTTGGATGTCTTCCGCCCTGATAATTTCAAGATACTATCCAATTTTCATTAGGAGAATCGAACACATCAATCAAGAGTTGATCAAATATGCACCTGAATTCAATTCACGAACAAATAGTGTCTGCGATGACAAATCACTTATGTAGAACTTATGAAGAACGTTTATGATGCATATGACGGATTAATGCAGCAATCATCAAGCGACGTTTGACTCTGTCTATTTTAGCAGAACTTCATTCAGTTGATGAATTCAGCAAAAATGATTGATTTCGAAGCAGAGCATGAATAGAGGGACGGATAAAATAACTAACGTGAACTTGGAACGAGAACACATCACGCAAATACTCAGCGAATGCGAGCACACTCGCCTCATGTGCGGCACAGTCGTGTGTATAGACCAATAGAACACTCGGATGTGCTGAAAGGGACAACGCATTGGGAGTCGTCATTTGGTTGTGAGTGCTGCACTAGATGCACACAAATGATGGTGGTAAGAGAGAGGATTATTATCAGCGGGCTGTTATCAGTAAATGCAACTAACGGTTGTGAATGAGAGGTGTTTGAGTGAATGACAGCGGTGTTAGCTGGTTCGAGGAGTGATCATTGGGAATGAATCGAATTTGAACGGTCTTCGAGTGTGCACGATAGCGATGATAGAACGTGTAGAATGTATATATTAGTAATAATAGCATCAAAACGGCTAGCATTAATATACCCAGTAGAAGAACTGTCCTGAAATAATGATAATCTTGATCACGAGTGAAGAGCATTCACCTGAACGTTTAGTGCTCTACGTTTGGTTACCTCCTTACGATATTCGAGTAAATCGTCAAGCATGTCTCGACGATATCACTTACAAGACATTCGAATTAATAGCCAAAGAAACAAGCATTCACCAAATTGTGTCATTCTCCTTGCGGGGCTTTGCTTCAATGATTGTTTCGTTCAGCTCAGCTACCATCGGTGGAGCAGTTGGTCTCTCTAATCCTGCATTGAATCTTGATAGTTTAAATACATTAATTACTAATAACTAGAGTTGTTTGTTAATCCTCCGAAGTTAGTTGAATTAACTCGACTCGAATAAAATGAGACAGGATAGTGAGTTTCATTGAAGTGATAAGAACAATGCTCATATTAAATCAGAAGACGGCTCTATCAAGCAATAACAACACTTACTATGAAGCCGAACTTTTTTCCAGTCGGCTGCAATACAAGAGCAAATGACTCGATTGTCGAATGGGTTATTTCCACTCACCGGACAAAGACACCTTCCGTCATCAGCACGCTCAATTGGTATCACCGACGGCACATAGTCACGTTCTACCTTCAAATTCAACCTTCACCGTATCACTCACAGTTAAGCTCATGAAAATTTGAAGTTGATAATATCTTTTCATTGTTATTCACCAGAAGCATCCAAAGAAATGACCACTATTAGCTGATATATTCAACGCTACTATAAGAGAAAGAAGAGTGGTGAAGAGTAACCTCAAGACCTGTAAAGTTGTATTCACCAAACAGCACCGTATTATTATCGATCACTTCAGATCGCATTGACTGCACCGGTATAATTGAGCTGTACAGCAGATCTAGACCGCTCTCATCTTTCAGTCTCACCTCGTACGCTTCAAAACAATAATGCGCTGGAGCGCCGACGAACTCGATTTGTATGGTACGTGCTAACGAATGTACGAAAATGCGACGAAAACCTGCGGCCCATTTCGAAGCTTGTGGATTAGCTGCAAATTTGGTGAAGTTTCACTGAGATGAATCACTGAAAGCACTTTCGATAGAACATAATCAGTAAAAACATGCATTAACGATTGACAATCGTGAATCGGCTTTTTACATCAGAGCCAATCGACGACATCTCTATCGCAATACGTTTACAACTTCATTGCTTCGACAGTGGCGCATATTTGCAGCTGAGAACAATTCTGAACGTTCGAAAACGAGAAAGAAAATATCAACAAAGTAATCTCATTAAAGGTACTAAGCGAAGGCAATCGTATGAAATGACATGTGAGAAATTCATATAACGAAAATAATGTAATAACACGGCAAAATGCATTGAAATGAGAAGTGAGCGATACATTTCAATAGAACAACTCATAGCCACATTCTGAATTATTTGAATGAATGCTTGATCTCGTGTTTGAGTACTCATATACATCGAGGTAGTTCTTAGCTGCATGGAAGAGAATTTTTTGGAAGGATTCAAGGTGTAACCCTCGAAAGGAGCATCTTCAGGGTTCAGATTAACTAAAGCGAAATTCACTACGACGGATTATTTCAAAAGGTGGCACAATGATTTTTTTTGCGTCGAATTCACAGCAGTTCATTTTGGAGAGGTGAAACGGAGTGAATGAGAGATTCTTAATCACGAGCTGACCTAATGAAAGCACTGCGCAGAATCTTACACAGGGACTTGTTTAAGCCTAATATCAAGGTTCTATATCTCAAAATGAGTTTCAACGCAGAATTTCGAAAAGAGAAGAGACCAGATCAGATCAGATCAGCTTTCAAAGCTTTCTCGTATCGCGAACTCGGTCAGTCGAGTAGCACCTTTCATCTCCTACCATCATCTCCAGAAAAAAACAACAATAACTTCATATCTCCAGTCTCGCCTCGTCCCGAAATTATTCAAAGACAAAGACTTTTTTGCATGAAAAAATGACTTACAATATCTCGAGCAATCGAAAGTTGGATCCGATAACGTCCGATTTAATTCTGAAAAAAGTTAAACCTAGATTTAGGTTTTGAACTGTATCAGTTAAAGTCAATTGTGCCCTGCATGACCATTCAAAACACTGGTGAGGTTTAGGAAAAATGTGTGAAGATGTTCACGCATACAATGGCCAACAAGTGATAAATGGAGAAGTCGCCGATAGCATGGACCGAAAACTTATTGAAAAACAATTACGGTAAGGGATTTCATTTCGCTTGAATCAAAGTGTGAAGTGCTTTTGAGAAGCATTCAGCATGACAAATATTATGAATAGCGATTGTAAACAAGAGGAAAAGTGAACAATGTTCCGTTCAGAATGTCACATGTGAGGATTTTTGAGCGACGAAATACTCCTTAATTAGTACTCAAATGCACAACAAATACACATATCTGTCGAGTGAGATCAATAATAAATTATCTTTCCTTTAATTCTTCTCGCAGATAATGAACAAATCTTTCAAACCTTTAAAAAATGCTTCTTTTGAGGATAGAAATGAAACAAATTTTCGATCTAAAAGGAGCACAAGAAGGTCGAACGCAATAGTAAAGATTAGCAACTGACCTGGATGCCTGGGCATGGTAACACGTCGCTTAACACCATTCTTTGTTGTCACAGATCTCGGTAAACTGGTCAAAATAACATCGTATGCGATGCCAAATTCAAAAATGCTATCGGTTGAGAAATGAAATCGAGGCTGTAAGAGCTTGAGGTTATGCTTGCACTAACGTTGAGGTAATGCCTCAATAAGTTGCCGTTAGTAATCATACCGATGAGGTTATCACTTCATTTGTCCACTGCGAATCAGTGAGATTGAACAGAAAGCAGGTGTGATGATTGATAGTATCGGTGCTTGTAGACGATGTGTTGTTGAGTGATTGATCGGTGTCAATTTCTAATAGAAACGCTTTCAGAAGTGACGTTGAGTCTGAAAGAATTTGGATTAGTGCTGCTGACATTGGCTGTTTTCGTCTCCTTACTGCACTCGTGCTATTGCGTCACAATCAGTTACCTTGCAAGTTAAACATTCATTCGGCTTGTATTGATATTGCTCTTGTTCAGTAATACACTTTTTTGTCATCTCAGCCCTAATGTGGACATATTCGTACCTTTGCTCGTTGTAAAAATGAAACGGTCGCATTAGCCGTTCAATAGCAAACTACAACTCTCGACACTGCTATCATCGATTTAATGAATTAACGTTATCAATGTAAGGTTTTGTTCCTGTGGCACCATGACTGGCGTTCAGCACTGAACATTTCATTCAGCTGTGCATGCACACACATGCTCATCCCAATGATTTTCGATGCTTCCTATTAGATCAGTATATGACTGTGCTTTCCAGTAACATCAAATTGGATTACACATTGCTCGTGATCATGAAAATCAAAAACTACTGAATAATTTCGAATAATATGAAAGGTGTGCTGGTGATAACCCGAAAGGTTTTCGTTGAATGGGGCAGAAGATCATGAAGAGATGAACAGGCTGTTTATTACGCATCGAAAGTCAGTGACTGGTAGCCGTGTTCTAGGCTTTGGAAAGCATCGAAAATTAGAAGTGTACTCTAACTGTTTGGTGGCATTTGCCACGATATATCCACAGAGAGTTGATAATTCTGCTTCGATCGACGAGGCATTGCCCTTGCAAATGGCTCGATCCGTATGTCGTGAACTGCCTCAGGCAACAGCGTCCTATCGTTCTCATAATCAATCAATGTCGCGTTACAATCCACTGAAAAGAAACGATATCATTAATTGATGATATGACCGCAATCACATCTCATCGGATCAATCTGGTTTAGCACTCTTATCACTATTGATTAGCACCTTATGCTGCACTCTTATATCTGCTATTCGCTCTCCGTTGTCATTGCTTTGAAATCGATCACTACATCGTAGTGTTGATAAACCACCGAAATTCGGTTGGAAAAATTCAATGAATCTCGGAAAAATCCAATGAATCTCGGAAAAATCCAAAAATCCAACTCTGAGATTCGGATTCTGATCGATGAATTTCGAGCTTAGGTTAAAGTTACAAATTTTGGAATCGCAGAATATCAATTCAATGTGATTCCAACCGAACTGAAATGTCGTTCGGATGTCATCACTACTGGATCGTATTTTTTATTGTAATAAGGCATATATTTACATTACGCAACGGTCTCCACCAATGATAGCACTCTGAGCGATATCAGCGAGTTTTTTTTTTGAGCTTGATATTGCTGATCTCACAGAAAACTATTCAGTGCAACATCATCATACATCTCAAACCTTTTCTCCACCAGATGATGCATTCATGATGCCTACTGCAAAATATTTGTTTGTATACGTCTTACCTATTATTGGCATTTTGTGTTCATCTTCGTCATATTTCCGCTTCCGTTTATTTCATTCGCTTAAATCGAAGTGCAGTCTTGTTTCTCAATATTTTATCATGGCGTTAAGTTGTATTTCTCGGAGATTTCGAGCTTGCTAAATATGTGAGTAAGTAACATTCTATTAACAGAAAATAAGTCGTATAGTACATGTGCGGTGATGTGATGACTGACATTAAAGATATGACAACTGAAACAAAATGTACTCCATCGCTTTGGTTATCGGCAACTCTTTACTTGACCGATGATAGTAGGATTATGAGAATTATACTGAGGTTATGAACGACTCACGATTACTTTATGAGATCGTTGTTAATCAACGAAAGTTCGGCAGTAAAATGAAGCGAGGATTGTGGTCAGATGAGAGCGAAAGGAGGAAACGACGAGAAATGCCCAAATTAAGCAGTGATGGCTGGTCGATGAGTAGTTCGCATTAATGTTCACCTGACAACGTTGCTATGTTTGCTCCGCTTTAGGGAGTGCGAATAAGAGAAGGAATGTGCTGATATTTCAGTGAGTTGCGCTCGTGGAAAGAGTATCAAATGACTGCCAATATACAGTAAATAAAAACGACAATTATTGTATGACGAACATTGAAAACGAATTCAGTTACTAGGAGCACGACAAATCGATGAACAGCTGATGATGATAATCCAAATATGGCGTTATCACCTTTCTAAAAAATTACACACCCATAAACTATTTGTTGTATATGCAATAAAAGTCTATTCATGATAAGCGAATATGCAACTGAAAGCATCGGCACTGCAAACAACAACTTATCAGCTACGTAGCATACCCACTCGCTTTATTCAGCGATTCACAATGCTAATTCCTTCATAGAAAGTGCTCGAAAGAAACTACTTCTGCAACTGATTCTCAGGGATGATAGTTGCTTTACGAAATTCTCTTTCTGCTGACAGAAATTTGTTACTTTCGGAATGGAATCAGCTCTTGAGATGATTGATTCAGGAAGAATTTATGGAGAGAAGAATACTACGGAGACAAAAGATGTGATCATAGAGTGAAAATAAGCTGATGGAGTAAACTGAGGAGAATCAAATTTAATATTTGAGGTTGGAAAGAATATGAGTGTGTGATGGTGTTTGATATCGACGATCCGACTTGATTTTCTCGTTTCGAAATAATATGAGTGAGTGATTAGGCTATAAATATCACAGCAATTATATGATATGTATCAACTTACCAATATCTACTGAGCAAGCGATCCCCTGAAAATATGAAAACGATTACTAGTATTCAGATGAATGAATGAACAAACTGCTTTTTGGAATTTTAATAGCGCATAATGAAATAGGTAAATGAATTTGAAATGAATAATTCGAAATGATATTCATCTGAAGGAAGAGGCAGCATCCTCCTTTTTAAACTATTCTCAATATGCTCATCTTATCGTCCTTTCGTAGCTCTCATCAAAGGATATTTACGAAACAAACTGCAAGTACAAATCTCTTCTCGTAGGTTTTCAGCGAAATTTGAGCAAAATCCAAAGTTCGTTCCATAACAATATTCATCATCGACATAATTATGGTTAAAAACGTAGAGATTCGATTACAGGGTGGGTGGGGAGGAATGCGGTAAGGTGGCTATATTGGCCAGGGATCTCGAAAATCGTGAAATTAGATGGAAAAGATCTAATAAATTCGTCTCTAACAAACAAAACGAATCATCGGAAAAAATCCGAAACTGAATATCAGAAATGAGCTGAATGGTTCAAATGATGAAACTCTAGGAATGTTGCATAGTTCAAACGATCTCGTTGATACTGAATGATATCACTAATTAGATATTCGTTTCATTCTATGGCTACATTTACTAATAATCATTACACGTGCTTGTTGATAAAGAAATAAGTGTGAACAGTTGAATAGGTTTTTTTATAACTTTTTTTGGACTGAAACTTTTTTCACAAGAGACGGAGCGTGCCTCTCATCCTGTGCTCTATGCATTTGACTATACCACAGAAAGAGGATGCCTAATGAACCTTTCACCTATGTTGATGTTTGGAAATGTTATTGGATAGCTAAAATGGAAATCAACGGAAACATGATTCGGTAACCAAGCTATCGCGCGGCCATAGACTACAAAGCGTCAACAGGACTTACCAGATACTCCTAAATTTACTCCATTAAGTACTCCTAAATTTTGGTTAAGTTTTTGATTCTTGTTGCGTGATTTTTACTTTATGTTCGGTGTATTGTCTGCTAGACTGTTTTCAGGTGATAAAATTAATGAATGTTTATTCGGAGACAGCGATGAGGATAGCACTGGTGAGGCTTGTGATTATGTTTCATCACATAATGGCGATGAATTAGATAAGATCTTATCCGATTTGGAAGACACATTGATAAAGGACTAGCTGAAAACATAGTTGGAGATGTTCCTAATGCAAATGCTACTAATTCATGCATTTGGAAATCGAAAAATCATGCGAAAACGTGATTCGTGCATTCCAAAAGTTCAACTCAAAAACATGGGCGGGGAGGGACACATAATGTGATCAACGAGAAAACCGGCCAAGCAAGTTTTGCAGTTCGCAACATTGACGCCACTGCAGCGCCTTTTTTGCTATTGTTCCAGTAGAATATTGTCAAAGTGAATGAATAAAGAAGTTGATGAAAGGCTGAAGGCATGCTGCTGAACTCGAGAAAGTGTTTGGAACTCACATTCTCACAGCTGTTTTTGAAGCGAGCAGAGAATCGCTCTCGCACACATACAGAGTCTTTTGCAAGCGACGATCGCCCCATTTTCAACAAACAAATTACCGAGAGATCGCTCAAAAATTATTACCGTCATATTGCTTCATTCCTTCAAAATACTGTACACCGATGCCTAATGCACTCTTCACCCATGTTGATGTTATAAATTGATCAGTTTGAAGTAAATAAATGTAGAAATAATTAACTGACTGAGATCTCTTTGGTGACGACTTCATGTGCGGATATAAAACGGGAAAGACCTTGTTCCGTATGCCATATTTTAATGTAATGCTTGAAAATAAATTTGATACGGATTTTCTGATTGTGTTCAGGACGTTATTTTTACTGTATTTTATATTTCTTTCACTTTTACATTCTTATTGTCCAGTCATGAACGAGTTGAGAGAACAAAGTCATAATCGTTCGTCACATTTTCGCGAGGAACTGGGCCGTTGCTATTTTATCATGTTCTCTTTTTGCTTTTCGATGTCGTTTTCTGGATTCACTCAATTTGCAGAACGGTGCTAAATAATTTGTGTTCTACAGTTGATGCTTCAATAATCACCTGATTTACATAACTTAACACAGTTCACTTTTCTGATGTATCTTTACAAAAGTTACAACGGGTCAGAATTTCAGAATAGTAATAATTATTGGCGTTTCGCTGAGAAGTCCGGTTCGTCTGTGATGCTCTAGACTGCGTATCTGATCCGATAAACTTTCTTCTTTCCCTCTGATTGAGGTCAGGGAAGTGAACAAAGTCACGAAATCTCAGGTGTGTAGGTAGAATATTCATGAAGTTGGCGATGGTCCTTTCAGGCCAGTTCGTCATGCGAGGGTTAATAGAGTTGCTTTATTCCGCTATAGGTTGCTTTCTTTCTATTCAAACTATTCTTTATTACCTTAACGAGCATCGATAAAAGGGCAAAGCTTATCTCATCACAACTTCCATAGCAACAACAACTCAAAATGAATAGAGATGGTTATAATAGTGTTTGTCAAGTGATGTATGCAACTGGAGTAAACAGGTATGCTTAAACAGATATCTTTTATTGTACAGGAAACGTTAAATTCAGAACTAGTGAACGGAATCAGCACTGAGCTAGTTGAATTAACTGACTAATGATGAATGGACGATGAAACCGCAAAGCAGCGAGAAAATAAGCTAAAAGAATATCGGTTTCGGTTTCATCTGAAGCAAGAGGATCGTGGTAAGCATCCAAGATTAGGATTGGATATTTGAATGATTCAGACTGAATCCAGGATTGAATGTAGGCTTGGTGAAAAACGTAACAAAATCGAAATGAAGTGATCAGTGATCTGCTAACCGTAAGCAAGCAACGAAATGACGACTCAGCACAGTAAAGCAAGTAGTTATTTGAGCAGTTCACCACTATAATATCACTTCTGTTATCGGCTAGCACAAGTTTATTATTAATTCAACTCAGTTAAGCCATCATTCAGCCGGATCCTTCACCATTTCCATCGCTTTTCTGGTGAGAAAATGCATAGAGGTTTGTCAAGTGTATAAATTTGAACAACTGAATGGATATATTCACCACTTATTCGGAACAACTCGCAGGATTCATTATGGGCAACTTTTGCACTTGATGACTGCTTATGATCCGGTCCGTG